TCTCGACTCTCAATTCCCAGTAGAAGCGGAGATATGAACATTTAAATTCAAATTTCAATTAAAATTAACTTAAAATTAAAAAATGTAACCTTCGGTAACTCCTAAACGGCTCAAGATACAGGAACGCGCTTTTGCCTCAATATAGTCCTGTATCAACCCTATTCTCACCATAAATCTCGACTCTCAATTCCCAGTAGAAGCGGAGATATGAACATTTAAATTCAAATTTCAATTAAAATTAATTTAAAATTTAAAAATGTAACCTTCGGTATCTCCTAAACGGCTCAAGATACAGGAACGTGCTTTTGCCTCAATATAGTCCTGTATCAACCCTATTCTCACCATAAATCTCGACTCCTCAATTCCCAGTAGAAGCGGAGATATGAACATTTAAATTCAAATTTCAATTAAAATTAACTTAAAATTTAAAAATGTAACCTTCGGTATCTCCTAAAGGGCTCAAGATACAGGAACGCGCTTTTACCTCAATATAGTCCTGTATCAACCCTATTCTCACCATAAATCTCGACTCTCAATTCCCAGTAGAAGCGGAGATATGAACATTTAAATTCAAATTTCAATTAAAATTAACTTAAAATTTAAAAATGTAACCTTCGGTATCTCCTAAATGGCTCAAGATACAGGAACGCGCTTTTGCCTCAATATAGTCCTGTATCACCCTATTCTCACCATAAATTTCGACTCTCAATTCCCAGTAGAAGCGGAGATATGAACATTTAAATTCAAATTTAATTAAAATTAACTTAAAATTAAAAAATGTAACCTTCGGTATCTCCTAAATGGCTCAAGATACAGGAACGCGCTTTTGCCTCAATATAGTCCTGTATCAACCCTTTTCTCACCATAAATCTCGACTCTCAATTCCCAGTAGAAGCGGAGATATGAACATTTAAATTCAAATTTCAATTAAAATTAACTTAAAATTAAAAATGTAACCTTCGGTATCTCCTAAACGGCTCAAGATACAGGAACGCGCTTTTGCCTCAATATAGTCCTGTATCAACCCTATTCTCACCATAAATCTCGACTCTCAATTCCCAGTAGAAGCGGAGATGTGAACATTTAAATTCAAATTTCAATTAAAATTAACGTAAAATTTAAAAAATGTAACCTTCGGTATCTCCTAAACGGCTCAAGATACAGGAACGCGCTTTTGCCTCAATATAGTCCTGTATCAACCCTATTCTCACCATAAATTTCGACTCTCAATTCCCAGTAGAAGCGGAGATATGAACATTTAAATTCAAATTTCAATTAAATTAAATTAAAATTTAAAAATGTAACCTTCGGTATCTCCTAAACGGCTCAAGATACAGGAACGCGCTTTTGCCTCAATATAGTCCTGTATCACCCCTATTCTCGCCATAAATCTCGACTCTCAATTCCCAGTAGAAGCGGAGATATGAACATTTAAATTCAAATTTCAATTAAAATTAACTTAAAATTTAAAAATGTAAACTTCGGTATCTCCTAAACGGCTCAAGATACAGGAACGCGCTTTTGCCTCAATATAGTCCTGTATCAACCCTATTCTCACCATAAATTCGACTCTCAATTCCCAGTAGAAGCGGAGATATGAACATTTAAATTCAAATTTCAATTAAAATTAACGTAAAATTAAAAATGTAACCTTCGATATCTCCTAAACGGCTCAAGATACAGAAACGCGCTTTTGCCTCAATATAGTCCTGTATCAACCCTATCCCCACCATAAATTTCGACTCTCAATTCCCAGTAGAAGCGGAGATATGAACATTTAAATTCAAATTTCAATTAAAATTAACGTAAAATTTAAAAATGTAACCTTCGATATCTCCTAAACGGCTCAAGATACAGGAACGCGCTTTTGCCTCAATATAGTCCTGTATCAACCCTATCCCACCATAAATTTCGACTCTCAATTCCCAGTAGAAGCGGAGATATGAACATTTAAATTCAAATTTCAATTAAAATTAACTTAAAATTTAAAATGTAACCTTCGGTATCTCCTAAACGGCTCAAGATACAGGAACGCGCTTTTGCCTCAATATAGTCCTGTATCAACCCTATTCTCACCATAAATGTCGACTCTCAATTCCCAGTAGAAGCGGAGATATGAACATTTAAATTCAAATTTCAATTAAAATTAACTTAAATTTAAAATGTAACCTTCGGTATCTCCTAAACGGCTCAAGATACAGGAACGCGCTTTTGCCCCAATATAGTCCTGTATCAACCCTATTCTCACCATAAATCTCGACTCTCAATTCCCAGTAGAAGCGGAGATATGAACATTTAAATTCAAATTTCAATTAAAATTAACTTAAAATTTAAAAATGTAACCTTCGGTATCTCCTAAACGGCTCAAGATACAGGAACGCGCTTTTGCCTCAATATAGTCCTGTATCAACCCTATTCTCACCATAAATCTCGACACTCAATTCCCAGTAGAAGCGGAGATATGAACATTTAAATTCAAATTTCAATTAAAATTAACTTAAAATTTAAAAATGTAACCTTCGGTATCTCCTAAACGGCTCAAGATACAGGAACGCTCTTTTGCCTCAATATAGTCCTGTATCAACCCTATTCTCACCATAAATTTCGACTCTCAATTCCCAGTAGAAGCTCTCAAAAGAGCTGAAGCTGCAAAAAGACAACGGTTATGTCTAATAATGCTGTTTCACTAATAGAGATTTTAATTCAGATTCGGTACAATAAGAGAGATAAACAAGAATGAGAAACGGACATTCTAGCAGATTCTAAACGAAAACAGCAATCTGAGCATTATTAGACGAATAAAAATCAACACATATAAAATTTATATCAGATTCTAAGATCATTATTCATAGTTTTCTAAATTATGTGCAATTTTTCATTGAGAATATAATTACAAATTTGTATTCATAAACCTCAGCTTGCCTCAGCAACCTTGCTTGAATAGACATTCATAATTTATGTGAAAAGAAAAGTAGAACTCATGTTATGTGAAATTAGCTTAATCGGAGGAATAATCATATCTCAAGCTATTTTATCATTTTTCAAAATATAAACTATGAATACTGATCTATGAATACTATGAATGCTGATCTAATTTCGACTCGGGTATGTCCTTACTTCGAGTAAGGTCCGTTAAAATCAGAAAAATCCTGCGTAATAATAATGACTCGAGGTACCTCGAATACCATACATGCGTCTCTGGGCGCGCTCCAAGTCCTCTCTCCATCCTGACTTCTCGATCCGACGTCCTCCTTTTGGTCTCCGTCGCAGCACCCCCGGATACTCCATCGTAGCACTGGCGACGACACTGACTCTAGCTCTAACACTCGTGCAAGTAAGATTCGGGGACAAAGAAACGCGTATTAACCGCGATACGACTACCGACACTCGTACTCTGCGTCGCGGTATGCGCGTCGTTCGTCGGCCCGAGGCGCAATGTCCTTTCCGCAATCACGGAGTCATATATAAGCGTACGAAAACAAACAATCGGGAAAGCACGGTTAGCCCCATCAGTCGCTGACCTTGCCGATCAGTGTTGATGCCTGCGTCGTCCGTTAGCTGAAAATGAAAACAACTCGTGTTTTCAAAGCATGCCTGTGAGAGACTCGCTTCAAACTTCACAATACTTATTTACGTCTGTTCCAAGAATCATATTACGCCGAATTCAAACTGTCTCTATTTTGACATGACATACACGAGATCTGCGATCGCATTATTGATCTTTCTTTGGACAAGAAAATCCTGAGAGGAACGCTGTTCGAGAATATCACATTTTATGTTTCAGGTGCCTTGCAGATTATCGAATCCGATGTAACAGATCAGGGAAAGTATGAATGCGTCGCTATGAATAACACGCGTGGGCACGGAGTACTCCAAGTCAATCACGTTATACGTGAAACGTACATATATTTAATATTATATAAAACTTACCTTTTTAAACAAAAAAGTAAAAAAAAGGCGCCAAGTACAAGCGCAACACGTATTGTGTTATTTTTAGAAATCTCAAATTCAAATTATTTTCTTTTTTAAGATATATATTATGTACATAACATAAGTTTTTATAATATATATACATAAACTTTTAAAAGTAAAAGTTATATCGTGTTATAAAAATTTAACACGTTTGTTAATAGTGTCCAATATTTAAAAAAAGTATCTTTTTAAATATTATGTACATAACATAAGTTTTTATAAGTAAAACTTATCAAATTATTTTTTTGTAAGATATATATGTACATAAACTTTTAAAAGTAAAAATTATATCGTGTTATAATTTTGTCTCGTTCTTATTAAATGTTACATTATTCTGCTGCGGACAATAACTCTTCTACTTTTCATTTAATATTCAATGATGATAAATTAACATTTAATTGCATTCGTTTGGCTTGTTTTATTTCGAAAATTAAAAAGTATATACTAGGGTAAGACTTCACCCATGACAACATCAACGTGATTTTTTTTATGCTTTTTTTTAAGTTCAGATATTTCGTTGACTCACGGGATATTTATAATCGGAGTCTCGTCACGTTAATTAACACGTACTTCTCCGAGCGAATCGAATGTTCACCCACTGTCAGTCCGGTCACGAGCAAATGTCCGGAGCGGACAGGATGCTGAATTGAGAAGCAGGACGAAGGGAACGCGACGCGGGCAACGATACATCATGCGTTTCCAGACATATCAAATCGTTTATTATACAGGAGACTTTGATACGGCAACATGTATGTAGAGGATTTAAAATATTTAATATGTATTTTTATTTTTCCTGCTCCCGCCCCCCGCTCTTTTTAGACCTTCGAGCATAGTCTGGCATAGAGATAGTAACTATGGTTGCAGCACGGACATAAACCGCCTAAAGTGGATGTAGCACGGACTTCCACCACATGTAGATTTTATCACCAAGACCTAAAAGTGGATGTAGCATCGTAGTTCTCCTCTCAAAATGGATGCAGATGGCGCCCATTTTCAGTGCGAAAAATCAGTATCGCCGAAAACGCAGTGTTGGCCGCTCTTAGCTTCCTCTCTGCGGGTATAAATCCACGTGTGATCACGCACGTATACGCATGCGTACGGAAGTGGGAGGTAATGATGAGAGTTTCCGTTGAACCGTCCTAAGTCTTTTAGAAGTTATCGTGTGTTGAGGTAAGTGTGATTTGCAACAAATGATAGTTTAAATTGCTGTGCGTAAAATAACGTGTGGTTTCATTCTTGTAATGTCCTATTAGTGTTTATGTATTAACAAATTAATCTTTTTATATTAGAATTTATTCGTGAATGATATATTGTTTCATGTCTCTTTACCTGTCTGCATAACCTACAAGCACGTTGCCTACCGTGCTGCGTTCATTTTGATATGTTTGTGTAGAGGATATTTTATCCATTCATTCCATTTATTGTTCGAGTTTGCTTAAATTACATTATACACACAAACATTTTGCATTTGTGGTACTGATATATTGAACTCGGTAACACATCCGGTTGTATGTGTGTATAATTGTGTTTATACTAATGTAGACTAAATTATCGTAATATTGCATGATAATAATTTTTATAAATTATGTGAAATAATACTATATACCTTGTTGTGTATATTATTGCAGGACTCTTGAATTATTAAACACACACCGTAACAATGCAGCTTAAAATTCGTGGACAGGAAACAACTGTTGTTGATTGTCAAGATAATGAGACTATACAACATATAAAGGTATTGATAAATCTCTTTAAATCATATTTCATCGATGTAATATCAATATCTATATCTGATTTGAAGAATGTTGCATTAAAATGATAATCTAGCATTTGTTTATATTATAATGCTAGAATGAGCACTAATGCAAAAGTAACTTGGAAATATATAATAGAGTAAAAATAGTTTTTCCTTTGCTCTTTAATAAGTTTCCTACAAAAAATTGTTTTCATAATTAATTTTTATTTTCATAATATACAACTATTATGTTTATATGGACTAAATAATTGATGTTAAATTAATTATATTTCCAATTTCTTACAGGAAAGGATTATATGTCTTCAAGGCATTGAGGAGTTTCATCTTTATTGTAACGGAGTTTTATTGACTGATGAAACTTCTGTCAATGAACTTGCTTCGGACATATTGGAATTGACTGTACCACTATTGGGAGGTAAATTGATACATCGGTCAATTATTGAAACAAATATTATTCGAAAGTAATTCTTTGTGGAATTTTACAAAATGTTAATATTTAGGTGGTTAGCACAGAATACAGTTGAAATTATTTCTATAATTTATTATCTTGATGTTTTTTGTATAGATATTTGTCAAAATATGTATAATGTATATGAATCATGTTTTCATATTGTGTTTTGTCTTCAAGTGCAAACAGTACAAACTGCAGTTATTTAATCTTATATAGTGAGAAGTAATGAACTTATAGTTTATAAATCTCTTTTTTTTCTTTCCTTAGGAAAAGTTCACGGTTCCTTAGCACGAGCTGGCAAAGTAAAGGCTCAGACACCAAAGGTAAGAGTTTGTTTCTTAAATTTATTGTTACATATACAAATGGGATTGCATCATGAATTTTATATTTTATAAAATGTAGTAGGATATAAAAAATATTTAGCATTCCATTTTTTCTTAATATATTTATTATATTAATAGACTTATGTTTATATTAATATGCATGTTATTAGGTTGAAAAACAAGAAAAGAGCAAGAAGAAAACTGGTCGTGCTAAACGACGTATCCAGTATAATCGCAGATTTGTTAATGTAGTTCAGACCTTTGGTCGCCGACGTGGACCTAATGCAAATACGAATTCGTAAGAAATATATCGTGCTATTGTGAAAACAAATAAAATGTAATTCTGAGATATCACAAATTGTCTCTTGAATTTCCCAACAAGTATTTCCAAGAAAAATCAATCTGTCGGTAAAACTAGTGGTGATTTATAATGAAAGCAAAGAAACTGACAATAGCGATTTAATATAGCACGAGTTAGCGTTTTTATTTTAAAATCATGACTCGAAATGACGACGAATAAAAAATCATGCTTTTATTTCTAAGTAACACAAAGTAGAAGGCTCTTTTTATTGTCCATTTGGATAACATGACTGCTGAGAAAAAAATTTTTGTTGAATGATGCACTTAGCGTATGTGAAATAGGTCGAGGACATGTTAATGTAATATATTAATTCGTAAAATGTATTCCGATTTATTAAATTTCACGTATGCCTAAATATGAGCTCTTTACACGTGTTACGCCATAATAATATATCAGAGTTTGATATCGAAGAACTTGTTATACATTTATTAATCGGTAGTACGGTTTAAATTATTATACAATGTAATAGGTAATAATGCAACATGGCTATAACTAGGCACATACATGTAACAGTGAATTGCAAATAAAAAAATTATGTATATTCTGAGCCTATTGTAAAATTGAATATATTTATATATATATATATATATATTTATGCGAATATAATATAATATTAATATAATATAATATAATATATAATATAATATAATATAATATAATAACTGTTATGTGCTTCACTTTTATTTACAACATTGAAACGATTACTCTAACGAATCGTGTTTTATACTATCAGATACTTTAATAACAAAGTTGCTCATGTTTGTCACTTGTTATCAGAATGTCATTACACAGACATGTGATAATATATGTGTGTGCATATGTATATATATATATATATATGTGGTATATGCATATCTATATATATGTATATATGTATGTATATATGTGTGTGTATATACACATCTCGTATATGGTATCGGAAAATTGTACAACGGGCATTAAACAATGGATTTAGCTGCAAAGCAATTATATCTTAGCTGATTTTTCGAATTCTCGAGTTCAATGATCCACAAGAATTCATACTATATACGTGTACTACATATACACACACACACACACACACACACACACACGCGCGCGCGCGCGCACATATGTGTATGCGTGTGTATACATACTTAAATTTATCTTACAAAAATATTTACACGTTTTCACTGTATTCAGGTGGCGAACACAAGCTGTACACATTTCCTCCTCTTTTCCTTTTTCTTTCTCTGTATCTGTATAGTGCAACACCACCCGCGACAATATATAATTCTTACACTAGTGTACACGTTTTATTACAAAATATCGGCTAAAGGGTACAAAGAAATACCAAATGCCAAAAATATGTTTGTTTACACTTTTGAAATTGCAGCCGAACGCAATGCAAAAAGAATTTCTCTTTCTCTCTTTCGCTCTCATTGTTTGTCGACGGGAGATCCGTATATTGGCATTCCAGAAATTTTTCAAAATACTTTCTCGCAAAGAGCACATAAATATTACAACTCAATTTTGCGCCTTACATTCTAATCACAGATTTCTAAACTTTGATATTCGCTTAAAAACCGATGATCAAGAGATTAAAATCGCGCCTGTTCCCGGTACACGTGTCGAAATCTCCACAAACAAAAAATATTCTCTCGTATTCACCAATATTACGATGTGTGCCTGACATGTGTTTCTGTCAACAGGAGTTTCACAAGTTTTCTCTCCCTTTATTATTTATTTAGGATCGCGTTGATTTTAATCGTCACTTGACGCAAGGTACTTTTAGCATGTAACACAGTATATAATTTCTACGAGTCTCTCTAGCGAATGTTTTCATTTTTTTTTCTTTTTACCATCTAATTGTACTATAATTAGTTCGACAATGTATCCAGATATCTCTAGTTTTTTTTTACTGCGGGAAGTGGATAATTATTATAGCCTTGCAAAAAATCTCTTAAATACATTGCGTTATAACGAAGCAAACTGATTCTTCGTTGTTCCTCCTCCCCCTTTTCTCTCTCTCTCTCTCTCTCTCTCTCCCACAATATTAATCGTCGCTGTTTACTATTCCCGAGACGTGTACAAGTTACAAAAGTTGTTCAATCTGCTCTGAAGATACGTCGTTACACATTGTAAAACGAAAGAGAAATGAACAACTCACTTAACGAAATCGCGGATCGCATTCCTCTTCTCACGATAATCGATAACAATGAACATTATTTATGTACATGTACGCCGTTTGACACGGTGCGCTCGCACAGTCAAACTTATTCGAAGGGCTACACGCTAATTTCACTTATAGACACATAGATCGCGTTCTCATTGGGTCGAATTGCAAAATGTTTACACATTATACTCCTAGATAAAAGAAAGAGGAAAGTAATCGTTATGTGTTGACTTATAGGAAATAAGTGTTAGGTAAAAATTAATTTGCTGACACGTGTGCACGCATTACGTTAAACGATCGCAGAACGCTCTCGTAGTCATAAACATAAATCTATCGTATCGCAAGCGACAAAGTAGAAACACGCAGATGTTTCTCGTTATAACACATATATAATTCGCTTAGAGACTAAATAAAAAAAGAAAGGAGCGAATATTCTAAAGCGACTCTTTATGCAATATAACTTATACAATTCTCTCGCCTTCTTAATTTATCGCAATTTATTTCTACGCTGCTTTAATACAATCTTTCTTTACTGTTCAGTAAATTTCTTTTGTACTTGAATGAATGTACGAATGAATAAAGTTTTGAGAATATCGGCGAGTCCACGAAGAGAGACATTTCAGCTTTCGCGCGAGTTCTCTCTTCGCGAGGATCGCTTCGTTTAACTAACAAATAATAATCGTCATGAGGCTTCTTTGTCAAAATAAAACGTACTATTCTTGCACACAACAGATCGGTCATGACAGATCTGTTTTGAACTCTTAGAGAATCGACGTGTCCTGACGCGCAAAAATCCAAAAATATATAATCGTTTCAAAATAAATAAAATCTGACGATAAACTTCACGCATGTAAGAACAAACGCGTTACATCATATCTAATTAAAAAAAGAAAAATCGATATGCCAAAATAATAGCAACTCTCACAAATGTCCAAAATAAAACTCAAATTTAAATTTCAACATTTACTCTTTATTATAAATTATTATCATTTTACAATGAAATATAAAATATAGAGACCTCTGGCGACACTGTTGTGTCTTTCCTTACCATTTTCTTTTCCCTTTTTTTTTCTCTTTTGGTTTGCTCTCTGTCTCTTGTTATGTCAAACACTCGTTCTCATTTCCCCACATTTTGTTTCACTCATGTCTTGCGATACACAAGGTCTATTTATGAGTTAAGATTAAATATGCGGATTCGTAGTGTTAATTGTATTATGCGTATATGCAAATAATATGTACAGACAAGTTGAATGATGCAAAGTGCACATTGTAGGTAATATTAGCTGATTTTTTAAATATTTTTTTTAGCGGGTACGCCTGTGAGACACGTCGAGATCAGCGTTGCTGATGCGTGGGCCGATCTCGTACTTGTCTATAACTTGGATAATCTTATCAAAAAATTGGACTAATACTACATATGTAACAGTTTAGGGCACCATTTCATCGGTATAAAAAGTGTATGTCGTTCCCGAGAGAACACACTTTTGGCCATTACCCGCGAAAGATACCGATACAGCTTTCAACAGGTCTCCGTTTACATAACTTATTCACACTTGACTATCTTCTCATTAGGCCACACGAATTCCAATCGGCATTACCTCGCGAAAAAAATTGCTTAAATCAACGTCCAGCGATGAATATTAAAATCGCGGGGGATAAGATCCTATCTTTCTACAGAAGCGATCGGTAAACTAAACTAAGCTTTGATGATTCTTTTTCTAAGTTATAACCTGACGATCGTTTAAAATTCAATTACGTTGCATTAGCTTCTCTCCACTGGGGAATGTCTTTTTCCTACTTTGTAGGCAGAGAAAAAGGAAAAGAATAAACCACGAGTTTTTAGTGGAAAACAATTCGGCTCAGGAATTCGTCTCTCACATATATTTTTTCTTTCGAGGAACAGCTTATTGAAGCTTCTCACCACGTTTCAGCTTTTATGCATGCGACAAGAGGATCAACGAACTATGAGGCGCTAACATGTGTCGATAGTTCGCGTCCCGTGTCAATCGGTCGTAATCGGTCGATATCAAGTAGAATTGTGTACTATATCGAGATATCGATACACAATTTCACCTTCTCTACAGATCGGAGCTTGCACATTTAGCACTAACTTGAAGATTATTAACAATACTACCCCTTCCGCCGGTTACGATCTTGACGCCGGATGATTGAAAAACGGCTTCTGTGGCTGGCCCGGCGGTTGCACCGGATACGCCTGGTTAGCCGTTGTTGATGTTGATGTTGATGTTGATGTTGACGATGGCGGAGGCGGTGGCGGCGGCGTCGCCGATGTGAACTTGGTGATCGTCGGCACCGTCAGATGCGGCGGATAAGGATTGGAGCCTGGCGGCGCTTGGGACGCCTGGGGTATCAAAAACGACTGCTGCGATTGCTTGCTGTTGACACCAGTTGCCTGCGACGTCACTGCGCCGCCGTATACCGGCTGCTGGGCCGTCGTGATCTGCGGCAATGTGAAAGTCGAGTACAACACTGGAGCAGGTTTGCTCTGAAACGGGGGATAATGAATAGGCGCGGAGCCAGGCGGTGGTATATACGGCTGCGGTGGTAACTGCGGCAGTGGGTACGTCGGCGGGGTGTTGGAGACCGAGGAGTGAGGTGGAGACACCTTGCGCGCCTTCAGTATCGCCTCAGCGGTCAGACCTATAATCGCCGAAACAAGCACTGAATATTTGAATATTGAATATTTTTCATAAATTGCAGAGATTACATTTTGCACTGTTTTTTCTTGTCACGTGAAACTAAAGGCCCATCGAGTGTAATCGAGACACTTGGCTCTCGATAAGTTAGGCTTTAACGATTTCATCTTCTGAAATCGTTGCTACATCTTTTTTCCTCTCATGCAAGTATTGCTCATGCAAGTATTGCTCATGCAAGTTGCTAAAATTGAACTTGGACGATTTACCCTGCTTTCGAGCTCTCTCCTCTTCGTCATCGCTGAGAAACAGTCCGAATTCACGTTTCAATCTCTCGGTGAGATTCTCCCGTTGACGTTCTACCAAAGTTGGCGCCGCGGACCAACCGATAGTACCTTCCTCTCCGCCTGGTGTGAACAAGTGAACAATCGATCTTACTTGATCTTTGTTTCATTAATAATAATATAACATTTTCCTCTCAAGAAACTTGAGGCGAAATCAATCTAATCGGAGAAAAGAGGAAAAAAATATCTCGGAATATTATACTTATTTCTAAGTACCTTTCTTTTCGTCGTTCTCAATGCCTGTGAAAAGTGGTAGTGTGGTGAGGCCCGGTAGATCGTGGGGATGAGACATCTTGCTGCCTTCCTCGTCTGAACTGAGCGACGAGGTGCCGCTGCTGGCACTGTCCGATCTATCTCGCGCTCCACTCTTGTCCACGGCGGAGGTTTCGCTCGATGGTTCCGGTTCGGCGAGGGATCCTCCCGACGACTGTTGCTTACGCTTGCGATACTCCGATATGGACAACTATAGATATGGAAAGTAATATTTCCTTATGTAAAATTGTTGATGCTTTTGTCACGATAACCCCAGGTCCAGAACCTTGCTATAAGCAGTAAGAAATTGGCTAGTCAGTCGTTTATTCACGGACCATAAGAAGAATAATCGACTATGGTTGGTTTGCTTGCATACTGCTTATGTCTTAAAGTAAGTTTGTGGACCCGAAATAATGACAACAGAACAAGCGAAATGAAAAGTGAAAAGGCAAACGATCGTTTCGTCTTAATAAAACAAAATATTTTTGTTTTATTTGCGAGAATCATATCTCTCTCTCTCTCTCTCTCTCTCTCTCTCTCTCTCTCTCTCTCTCTCTTTTTCAGTACACAACGCATAATAAAAAAATTAAAAGAAAATAACAGAAATTGAATCTTTGAGTATATTTATTCATATACACGGTTTTACCACAAGGTTTCATTCACGGGGATCACACAATCACTAAGGCCCATATATATTTTTTCTTCATCAATATACATCAATTGTGAATGATGAAAACACATTTATGCTAAAAAAATAAAAAAAAAAAGATTTAATTTACCTTGACCTATTGTCTATAATAACTGGGTAATGAGAGACTGACAGATAACACGAGAGAAAGAATACTGATCAATGACATATTAAACAAAATATTAAACAAGGGTACTACGATAATCAGCAACGAAAATTCTACACCGCTCCTACCGTTCTAACCTTACGCTTGACCGGAGGCAGTGCGTCCGGCTTGAAGGCCGACGGTGCGGGCATGTTGTTCGGCACGACGGTTCTCGGATCCTTCAAGCGTTTGATCTCCTTGGGCTTGGTTTCCTCTTCCTTGGCGGGCGCTTCTTCCGGTCGAGCCTCTGGCCGAGCCGGCGATGGGTTTGGCGTGTCCGTCGACGTCGTGCGTTCGGGAGAATTTAATGTCATTAGTTGAACTATCGGTTGTGCGTTATTTGCCTTGTTGTCGGCGTCATCTTTCGCCGCTTCAGTCGGTTCATCGTCCAACTTCGCCTCCAAGAGCTCGCGCAGCGCGGTCGACAGCTCGATCGACTTCTGCTCGCCGTTCTTGGACCCTTCCGCGGTGTCCATGTTGATCGTGGACTCGATGATTGCTGCCTCCAAGCCTAGCGACGGCGTTTTCGACGTGGCTGCCGAATCGGTCGTTTTCTTACGGATACGTTCGCTCAACGGCGGAATGGAGTGAAAGATCTTGGGCGGATCGGCCACCGGCTTCGTATCCACGTTCGACGACGTCGACTCGAATACGGATTCTTCCGAGGAAGCGATGAAGGTGCTGGACGGTTCCGCCGTTTTCGCGGGTTCGCCACCCTCGTCTTTTTTCGTCTCTTTCGTGTCGTCGCTTGTGACGAGAACCTGCTGCTCCGTTATCTTGGTAGTCTCTAATTCTTCCTTCAACGGCGGCTCGTCCTCGTGACTGACGTTGAACAGTTTGAAGGCAGACTCACAGTACTTGGTGTCATCCATATCCTTGTCCTCGGAATCCGAGTCTTCCTTGGAGCTTTCCATCAAGCCTTCGATTCCGTCCATACTCTTGTCCCGCTCCGAGCTCGTTTCGATCTTTTCCTGGTAATCGTTACCGTCGTCCCCGGTGATCTTCTTCATTTGGGCCTCGACATCGAACTCGTCGATCGACGTGTTGTCGTCCGACTTCTCTTCGGTCTCTTCGCACTTGCCGCTGGCTTCTTCCTCGCACGGCTTCTTCTCGCAATCTGGCTTCCCGTTATCACTGATATTCACGATTTCGGCGATACCGCCGCCAAACTCCAGCTGCATCTCAGCCACACGTTGCTTAAGAATCGCGTCTGACTCCATATCGCACTGATACCACGGTGGAGAGCTGAACTCCTCCATCTCGGTGTCAGGTTCATTCTGATCGATTATCTCGACCGTACCTTTGGCAACGGTTTGCGTTTCCTCCTTCTTCGTGAAGACCGATACTTTGCTCAAGTGCGAACTGTCCGTTTTGAGATCAAGCACCTCATCCTTCGCGGCCCGCAAATCGTCCTTTGCGAACACCTTCGTGTCCGAGTGCAACGCGATGGCTGAACTGTAGTCAGCTTTCACATCAGCTTCTTCACATTTTTGTACGTCCTCCTCCTCTCCCATTGTCGCCGCCGTGTCCTCCGTTTTTATCACCGGGGATTTTACTTCAGTCTTAACGACATCGGATATTTCTGCTTTGTCATCACGCTTTGTACAAAAGTCCGACCGAGGAATATCGATAGAGAGTTTCTCGCGAGCGATCGTCTCCTCGGGTTCTATGCTGCTTTCTTCCTTCACGGATACCGACTCCTCGTAGTGTCTCTCATAGACTTGTTCCACTACGGGCGATTGCGCGTGTTCCGTGTATTCATCCTGCAAAAGCGGCAAAGTACTTGACACTAAAACACCCGCTCTATTTGGAATCATAGAATCAAAGAACGTTCAAGACAAGGGACGATACAGCAATAATCATTTAGTAGTTGCAGCAAGAGTTGGCCGTACCCGTAAAATAATATGTGAGCGTAATTATATAACATGTTCATATTCGTGGTGCGCGGGAGAAAGGAAGCACAAGAGTTACCTGACTTGCTTGAAAAGGGGCAACTTTAAAAATCGCGACTTACCTCGTTAGGGCACAACGATCTACTGTTAGGTGCCGCTTCCGGTAGCAGCATGGTCGGAGTAGTCGGCGGGGTGTAATTGTCCGATGACAGGCTTTCTCGAGCGATTCTCCTCTTCTTAGGTGGTGCCACCGTTTCGAGAAGAGCCGGTGGGCTGTCGGGTCTACTATTCGGCGAGTCGCACTCTTCCGAAATCGCTTGGCGCAGCCATCTCTTCTTCGCCGAGCCAGTGGAGGCCGGACAGCCGCCAGCGTTGTTGTTGTTGTTGTTGTTGTTGTTATTGATATTGTTGAAATGATTGTTGACAGCGGTACTGTTGTTACCGCCGACGGTTTGCTGTTGTTGCCTACGCTGCTGCTGCGGTGGCGAGTCGCATATGCCGGACACCGAGTTGGCGGCTTGCACGAGCGTCGCCAAGCTCTTGGCAGCGTAACTCTGCGATAAGAACTCCGCGGACGGATCCGCGCCGGTGGACGGCAGTGGGAAATCCGACTGCCTGATGCACAGCGCGGAGTTCATGGTGTTTGGTAAAGTCGACGCCGTTGGTAACGCCGACAACGGGGACACTTGAGGTATTACGTTGGCCTGTGGCGGCGGTAGATCCGGCGATTCCTTCAGCCACTCGTTCATCAACGCCTTCTTCGTCTTCGGGAACTTCAAGCCGGGCGCTAACGGGCCAACAGCGGCAGCAACCAACAGGCAGGCGGACGAGAGCGGCGTAGACGGTGTAGAGCTCTGGGAACTGCTGCTAGCACCGCTGTCGCACGTCGGACTCTTCACCGGTGTAGGTTGCTGCAGCGGAGGTGAACTCGGAGGACCTGGAGGTGCATTCGAATTCGCCAGAGCCAGCAACAGGCCGGCCGCCGTAGGAATACCCTGATGACCGGACGGCCCAGTACTGGCGACTTCGTTGCTGGTGTTCTTCGCTGGTGTGTGCAAATGAGACGAGTACGGGACCTCTTGGCTAGGCGGACGCACTTGACTACCACCCAACAGTGGTGGCGATTGCAGAGAGTTGCTCTCGTCACCAGAGGACACGTCCGATTCTGCAGAGTTCAATCGTGTCCTTCGATTGCTCTGCGACTGAGACGTGCTCGTCGTCCTCGCGCGACCTTTCCTCCTCTTCCTTCGTAACGGTCTTTCGGAGCTGGCTTGTCTATTTTTTGACTGACCTGTCGTTGAATGATTGTCCTCGTTGTCACTGTGCGTACCGCTGGATTCCTTTCGTTGCGCATTTCTCGCCTGCACCTCCTGCTTCCTCTGCTCCGCCTTCTCCAATCTCTCGAATGCCTTCATTATTGCCTCCATCTTCCGCTCTTCCCTCGTCATCTTCTTCTTGTCCTTCTTCGTTTCTGGCGGCGTCGATTGGCTGATACCGGGTGATGTTTGAGGTTGTTGCACGGTCGCAGACGGTTCCTCCTTGGGAACTTGACGTGTGGTTATGGTAGCAACTGTGGTCGTGACGGTCCTCCTAGGTGGTGGAGCGGTAACCGTCGATGACACCGTCGTCACGGTTGGAGGGCTTTGTGTGACACTCGTGCTGGGAACCGCTGGCGCGGGCTCGGTCTCTTCGCAGACTGTGTTCCTTCTGCCTCGCCGTCTTCGTTCTCTGCCACTGCGTGGTAGTTTGGATTGCAATAATTATATAATGTAAATTAATGTTGAAGTTTCATTTAGTCACATTTACAATCAGTCTCGACTTCAGATCTAACTTGGAATCTAACATTGCAAAATAAACAGTTAACATGCATTCGAGTAAACTTACTCAGCATTTTCGACGAGAGCGCCGTTACTGCCTCTTCTGTTCAACTGGCTAGCCGTGGCTATCTGACACTCCCGCGGATTGCTGCACGCGCACACGACGGGCAGCGCGGTTGAATTGGGATTGGGGGAGAGTAGCAGGTCGTGTTGCTCGTGCTTGATCGTGATCTCAGCGTTCTTCTCGATCGCCGTGGTCGTCACGATGTACAGATGCAACGTACCCTTTTCGATGCAATGTTTCACCTCGGCATTCGGCCTACAGCTACGTCGTACGAACCTGGCGTCGTTACCATAAGTCCGCGTGTCCACGCACACTTCAGTACCGTCGCGTGGTAAACGGTAAAAGAAGACAAACGGTCCGGGCCGTTGGGCGTGTTGCCTGCCTTGTGGATGTTGCGGTCTGTGTTGCGTACTGAGCATATACTTGCCGCGTAGCTCGACCACTGGAGTGTTCGGTGGAAGGTACACGGTCGCTACCAGAAACTGCAACCGCGAGGAAGAAAGGACATTTTAATGGTAATATATATATATATATATATACTGACAGTGATACTATAAATAATACAAAATAATAATAGTGATACTAAATAATAACTCGTAACGTGGAAGAGAGCAGCGAGAATTTCACTTACTCTGAGACTGTTACTGTGCACATTGAGTCTGCATTTGCCGGTAGCGATGACGTTCATATTGCTCTGCCTGAGATCGCTGTGAGTACCGTTCACCTTGATGCTCGATATCCTGGCCCGTAGCTCGGGACTGTAATGGTTCGTAACCGCTTCCTCGTATCTCTCTATCCATTGTCGCAAGGGCGCCATATTCGAGGATCCCCAGCTGTCCTGCGCTTCCTCTTCCTTGTCTTCGACGCTCATCCTCCTCTTAGCTTTGCGTTTTCCAGGTCCACGTTTCGCCGCGACCTCTTTCTTGCGCACGGCGCTAGACTGTCGCGGATGCGAATCCCTTCTCTGCCGTTTCGCGACGTTGTTGTTGTTATTATTGTTATTGTTGTTGTTCAGTCTTCGTACCTGTGCAGGTGCGTCGGACTTGGACCGTCTCGGGACGGACTGTTGTTGCGGCAGCGAGCGTTTTTTCTGCGTCGCGTTCACGCCAACGTCCGTGTCCGCAGAGCTCGTGGACGATGTGTCGGATGACGTGTCTGAATTGAGCAGCTCCTCGCGTTTACGCATCTGCAAAGCGCGAGCTCGCTGCCTGTCCACTCGTCGTGGCCGACATCGCTCACAGAGGTATTCATCGGGAATGTTCGAGCGATCTATGCCCATACAATCAACATGTTGCCAAACTCTGCAATAACATTTAATTTGCGATGAGTATGTGCCGTAACACGCTTCACACTATGATTTTTAACTATGATTTGATTTTTAATTTATCTTTAACTATATGAATCCATATATCACACACATATCATATGAGCGAAGAGCTTTACAACAAAATGTTGTGTCGCGTGTGCTACATAACTACAATAAAAATATTAAAACTCACAGGCATCGATCACAACATATCATGTATCCATCGTCGTGCTCGAAATCACTAAAATTCATGTTTTATATACATTATTAAATTATTTCTATAATATATATATATATATATATATATATATATATATATATATTAACACAACCGTATAGTTGTGTGGAAATGGCCGCCTACTCACCAAATACATCTAGTAACACTGTCTTCATCATCACCTTCACCCTCAGGCGCGGTTTCGGTTTCTTCACCTTCCGGTTCAGCTTCCCGCCCTCCTTCGCTGCTAATAACGCTGACCGCATCATCTTCCACGTGAGTACTACTTAAAACTTTAATCACACCCATAATATATTATTATTAGTATTATTATAGTATCAATGTATTTTTAGCTTTTATATTCATGCACCGTATGTATATGAGTATTCTGACACATGACACTGTGAGAATGATATGAACTTTGCTCGGTTACTAAACCTCAAATGAGCTTAAAATTCGCATTTGACAACTCGAACATTCTTTTCCACTGTATTTTAGAAAGTTTTCGAGCAAAGAATCTACGACATACTTGTTCAAAGCAACAACATATCGTAGATCATATAGGCAGTCATAAGTGAAGAAATTTTTATCAATTGGTATCAATTGGTACGAAATATGAAATAGATACCCGGATACTTTTGTGCATTTACAATAAAGCTAACGTATAAAATAAGGACAGTTCTGACGTTTGAGGTATTCGTAAAAATATAGCTCGAAATAACAATCACGATGCAATGTTCAGGTCGTTACCTGGACAGAAAATGTACGGATGTTGAGAGGTAGCTGTGGAACTTCCGGCACCGTTGATAGGTTGTTGCTTCGGGTGAGGTGGTGGCGACGGAGGTGGTGGCGTACGCGGCGGCGGTGCCCCGTAGTTATGGTCTTGAAGTACAAACTGGAGGCACTAAAATCGAATGAGGATTTTCCTTTTAATTAAAAAGCTATTCAATTGGATTAAGAGACATGATGCCAATTTCAATTATCAATTATATAATGGATAAAAGTTTATCGGTCTGGCAATAGATTTACTTTATCATGAGAGATTATAGATACCTCATATGGAAGTGGCATCCTTCTCACAGGTGATTTAGGAGCGCCTTGCTCCTCTTCTTTAGATGCTCGGAATTCGATATCGTTCCTAAAGTAAGTAACCATTCTGCTTAACATAACAATCTTCATTCTACTTACACGATACAAATGTTAACCCTTTGCGGTCGTAAAGCGCGCTTCGGTGCAATGTATTGCTTTAGACTACACTGCAAAGGCTTAATCAAGTTAATTGTTCGAAGTATTAGCTTGGTCAGAAAGTTTTATCTTAGATAATTCTTTGACAACTACTTCCAATGATAGAGATATTCGAATATCGCCAGAACGTCAGCAGAAGACTGTAGACTGTGACAGCAATTACTTGACTGATGGACAAATTGATTCCATTGGATACGAAGAAATTAGATTTAATTGAAAAATTGAATCAAACTTTTTGACCGACTTAATACTTAAATCCCAGGTATAGGTTTCATTCAGCTAATTGTTGCCATTTGATTAGGAGTTACTAGCGTATAAAAAAGAAAAAAAAATAAAACAGGCTAGCATGGAAGACAATGCGTAGCAAAAACAGTAGCTTACATGTCCTCGTGACCTTTCCAAGTTTCAGTTGTCATTACGGGTAGCAAGGTTTTTAGCTGCCCGGTTTGTTGTTTAATTTGTTGAGACGAACCATACTGTGAAGACATAATCAGCTGTTTTTGTGGTATCACCTGTTGCTGTATTTTGATAGGTGAACTTTTATGCGTCAAGATGTTCGACGCGACTGTTTGTTGTGGTAGCAACGTCTTAATACTCGCCTTTTGTGTAACTGCCGACGTCGCTGGATTCTTTAACGAAGTCACGCTCGTGTTCAGAGAAGTCTTAATACCGCCTCCACCGCCGACTTTCTGAGCATGGTTCCTCTGTACAGGTTTTTGTGGTGGAATAGTTTTTATGCATCCGGGTTGTTTTTGGACGCTTTGCGAACCGATTACATTTTGTTGTGATTGTTGTTGCTGCATACTCTTCATGGATTGAGCGTTGCTGTTCTTTTGCACCGGCTGTTGAACTGTGTTTTGGGAGTTTGCAGCTTTCATAGGATTTACCACTTTCTGCGAGACAGCCTTCAGACTCGCTGGTTGTGAACTCTGCAACGCCTGACCCTTGGTAGATATTCCTATTCTCATCAGTGTCTGTTGCTGCTGCTGTTGCGCTTTTGAACTCATCACAGTCTGAGCCCTTTGATTGTTCGGCATAGTCGTGATTACCTTTTGATGCACGTTAGTAATACTGTGACTCTTTTGAGTTTGTAGATTATTCGCATTTGCAGCAGACTGCTGCTGCTGCTGCTGCTGCTGCTGCAACTTTTGCACCACGACCGGATGCGGTTGCTGTTGTTGTTGTTGTTGTGATGTCTGTAACAATTGTTGATGCAACTGTATTAACGGTTGTGGTTGCTGTTGTTGTTGTTGCGACGCTATTTGCTGCTGTTGTTTGCTAATTGTAATCATATTCGAGTTTTGCGATACCTTCGGGATATTCGGCATACTGTTGCTCTTGCAGACATTTGTCACGCTCTGTATCCGGGTGGCAGCGCTGGTCACCGTCGACAAAGTCTGGGACTTTTGCAACGTTGTCGTAGACTGTGACTTTTGATGAGGCGTCTGTGTCTGTTGTTGGTGCATGTTTGTAGTTTGCCCGAGTGCCGGAACTTTGTGGATGCCGACTACATTACCGCCACATGATTTGGAAACGTTGTTTAGTGACGTGGGCTGCTGCTGTTGCTGTTGCTGCTGCTGCTGCTGCTGCCTGGCCACTACAGTAGTTTTCTGGGGTCCCTGCAACTTTTGCAGGCCCTGCTGTTGTATAGTCTGTTGATTAGCTGAATATTGCTGCGGTGGCTGTTGTATTTTATGGTTAGGGTGATGATGAACGCTGCTCAATACTTGCGAAGTCACCTTCTGATTGTTGCATACAGACTGAGATGGCACTACCTTTTGCGCGTTCGCTGCATTGATAGTTTGCGCCTTCTGCTGCTGCAAGTTACCGCCGGTTCTAAGGATTTTATTTTCTGCTGCAGGATTCTGCTGAGTTTTCTGGGTGCTCGCATTGGTTTGGTTAACGGACAACTGGTTCACCATCTGACCGGCCACCACTTGCTGCTTCTGCTGTATACCTTGTATTCTGGGTAAGGAGTTTCGTTGCACAACAGTGGACTGACTGGTTACGACAGTCTTGACCTTGTGCAGGTTCACGGTTTGCGATGGCTGACCGATGATGTTCGACGTTTTCAGATGTATCCTCTGAATATGCGACATAGGCGCCGTGCCAGTGGCAATAGTTTTCACCTGGTGCAACTTATGATGCAGGGTAGTCTGTACGTTGCTTGTTCCTGTCAGCTGTTGCTGCTGTTTACCATGAACAAGTTCGCCGATTGCGGCCTGATTTCTCATCGGCTGAACAGTCTGCGCGCAAACAGTCGTTTGCAAAGGATAGACAACTCCACTACTGGGAGATGGCAACGACGTCGAATTAGCTAATGTCTGAGTTGTCGCCTGAGAAGTGCCATCAGCTCCCACCGGGACGGTCTGCACATGGTGGCTGCTGGTGGACGACGGTAGCTTCTGCGAGATAACGCGCGTTGTCAGCATCTGCGTGGTGTTTGTTCTCTGCATCTCTCTAGCACCCTTAGCGACCGGATAGGTCAGTACGGTCTTGACCTGCGTAGGGAAAGACGTAGCTCCCGCTGTTAGTACAGCCTCCTGCTGGTTATTGCTGGTCTCTATCTTGTGCAACAGCTGCGACGATCTACCGCCATCCTTAACGGCAGCGTCATCGTTGTTGTTGCTGCTGCTGCTACCGCTGATCATCGCAGCGGTGGTAGCAATAGCAGTTGTTAGCGGACAAGTGATCACCTCCCGAGTAATTAACAACGCTGGCGCGGCAGATTGCTGCCTCTCGCCGTTTCCCTTCTTCGCCGCATTCTCCACGACTGCCGTCGCCGTCGCTTGTTCGACAGTATCCAGCTGCAGGATGAAACTCATGGTGGTCTCTGCGCTCTGCGCGTGTACCTTCTCTTCCGTTTCCAGTACGGGCTTCGTCGTGCCAGCTGTAACTTGCAACACCACTTCATCATCTCTCGCACGCTCCTCGCCACCGCCACCGCCACCGTGCTGTTGCTGTTGTTGCTTCTGCTTCGACTTCGGCTTCTGCTGTTCACAGGCCGCGGACACCGGGGGAGGTGGGCCAGGCCCTGGGGACAGTTGCTCCCCACCGCCACCTGTTCCACCCCCCGATAGCTTGATTACCGATGGGGTCGACGTTTTGGTGGCCTTGCGAGCACGTTTCTAAATGGAAGCTCGAACGAGTGAATTGCGACCGGTGCCCGAGGAGAGGCTGGTCCTCACCAAGTGCCTTCGATTACGGCTATTTGAGGATCGTTGACCATAGACTGTAACAGAAATGAAGAACCGTGCTATAATCATTCGAATCTAACAAAATCGAGTCATCAGCCGCCGAGTGGCTGCAGCGAGCTCCCGCAGGCTACGTGAGAAAGACGGAAGTATCGGTGATTCGCGAAATCTCCGTGGATTCCGAGCAACTTTCTCGACAAGTACGCCGCGTTCGCGACAGTCGCTATTCGGCCATCATCAATGATTATCGCAACGAACGACGTCTCGCATGCACGCACGTACTGACATCAGGATCGCCATACCCTTTTTTTTGTACGAATTCGTGAAAGGTGAGTGATCCCAAATGATACAGGGGAACCTTTATTTTTTCACAAGTTCATGCTGAAAGAAAATATCTTGTAAAGAACCACCACCAAAATGAATATACATATATATATATATATATATATATATATATATATATAGAGAGAGAGAGAGAGAGAGAGAGAGAGTCTTTCCCTCTCTTAGCTTCTGATTGGTTTTTTTCTTTTTCAAAGGGATGCCAACGCATATAATCTTGAGTTTCTCAGATTGTCTCCTCGACGCGTCGATAATCGATAACCTCGTTTCTTCATTGTTAATGTATCCGAAATCTCTTTTCGTTGACGCTTTCTGCAAAATCACATAGTTTTTTTTATCAGGATCGATGTTGTTCGCGATGAAGTAAGCGAGAAAAGGGAAAGATAAATGAGGTACGCGCGTGCGCGCATATTATCGCCAAGAGATAACGAACTGTGGTGGAAAATTCAATGGAGCATACTGTTTAGCCAATTGATTATCATGCGTTCGCTTACGTTTAGCACAATTGCGCGAGAGCGAGACCGTCAATGTGTGTATTCGTACGAACGAGAGTGATGGTTGGAGAACCGATCGACCGTCTCTTCTCGTCATCGGTACAGCATGACTAAGTTGCTAAATGTTGAATCTGACGCGTCGCTCGTTCCTCAAACGAGGAAATATTGTGTAACATTTATCGTGTCGTAAGTCAAATAACCCGAAAGGAGTCATTTACCGCGAAAGATGCACTAACCAGCGCATAACGTCTATAATTATCCTCACCTTCGTCGAACCCCCCAGGTAGGCCGATCAACCGATTGTGATGGAGAATTTTCTGAAAATCAAGCTAGTACGTACGACAAAATGCCAATTTGTTCGTCATATGATCGTCGCTAAAAGTTAAACGAGGAAGACTGAAATATGAATTGCGCGATGGCGCGGGGTTAATGTCGCGGCGGTAATGGCGGCGAGTCGACAGTCGATAGTCTCGATTCGGTTCGATAGGATCGAGAGCTCGAGGGGGATCGCTCGCTCAACGGAGCGAAGTACGCTACAGATCGAAATGAGTAACGTACTCATGCCATAATTTGTCGCCGATATTGAAGGAACTGAGAGGAGGAGACATGAGGAGAAGCGGGAAAGGGGAATTAGAAAGTCGCCGAAGTACGTACGATTTTCAGAGTGTCTCGCCGAGCGACAGGCGAGTGCGAGAGAAGAGATTGCATCTCTGGCTGGACCTTAAAAGAGCCGATTTTGCGAGAAGGAGAGCGAGAGAGAGAGAGAGAGAGAGGGCCTTTTCTCTTTCTCGTGACCGACTTCAAGCGCATTGTTCGAGCTCGTGCGCGCGAAGAGAGAGAGAGAGAGAGAGAGTTATTTCACGAAACAATAATCGCCTGGGGTTCTAAGTTCACGTTAGAATGAAAAGAAAATATAACGGGTTGCATTTGAGATAAAATACAGACAGCTCTGTAGCCGTGAAGCGTTGAATTCGTAACTGCGCGAGTATCTCCCTCGAAGCGACGAAGTGGACAAAAGTTATCGATCTTTGACAGTACCGTTTGTACTCTCAAGTTCGAGTACTGACCGTTCCAAAAGTATACACCACGCACAATATCGGCAGACGGGCGAATACGCGCGGGTATCAACAGCCAAATGTATCGATCGCAACTCCGACTGCTACGATTATCCGTACAAATTAGAATCGTTGCTACCAAAACGCATCGGGTCTGTCTTCTTCGGCTGAACTAGGCCGCATTTTTTATTTCTTTCGGCTGAAACAAGTAATCAAGGCTTCCAAGGATGAAGGAAACGGTACAATACTAGAGATAGAACAGCTGAAAAGAACAAGCCTACAGAAATCGCATCTTTCGTTCGTTTTTTAAAACGACGCCCGAGTGAAGGTATCGATAGTGGAACGCAACGATTCTCCATGCGCTGGCTGCAATCATGCTCGCTCTTTCACGATCGATCCTCGTGAGCGCATATCGTTAGTCCCGACTAAGTTCTCGGCGTGCATTCACTAGATGCACCAATCGAACATTGCCGTGCGCGCGAAATTAACGAGCTCTCGTGGCGGCGGCCCGTGGTGAAGCGCAACGCGTTGTTCAGCGGAGGCGACGGCGACGGCGACGGCGGCGGCAGCGGCGGCGGTGGTGGTGGTGGTGATGGTGGTGACGTTGCGGACTCGTCGTAGTCTCGTCGCGTTGGCAGCAATGGGGCATTCGCGGGCGACCTACTTCGCGTACCTCGACCCTCGCGCATTGATTTGCGTACCAAAATTGTTCCGTGAGCAATTATTGTTCGATCATCCCTCTCCCCTCCGCCCCGTGACCGCGTCACTCGTCGCTGCTTGTCTAATCGTCAATGCGTTTCCAAAGTAGCGGATCATGAAGTCTGCCCAAAAGGACTGGTACTTGTCGACCTTTGCCTAACACATTTTTTATTGGGTATCTTTTGCGACTGTTGATTGAGGTTGCGACGGACCTGACAATTTCACCCAATCAAATAAGAATCCAAGCTCTGCTCGGAAGATGACGCGCGCAAAAGTGTCGCGTCGAGACGCGACAAAAGCGCGTTTCTGTGACACGCAAGTCGCAACGAGACCGACTGCGCGCTACCGAGCAAACGCGATAGCACGCGAAGGAGCGACGAGTATTACGTACTTATCTGCTGAACAATGACCTCATCGTGTCGCGAGCGTTAGCATGAATTATTTACGAGATCGCACGAGGAAACTTCTTTGTGCCTGAACTGAGCTAAGCACTATTGTATAAGCGCAAATTTGTATATATTATTACGCGCTGAAATGCCTGACGGTCGCGACAGATATAGACATCGATATCTGCGCTCGGGCTCGTTTCGACAAGTTCCATTCAGGCTCGGTTGTTCCAACTTTATTTTTCCTTCAATTTATACAGAGACAGACGTATGACTTAACTATCAGTTAATTCACCAAGAAGTCGGAACAACCTGCCCTTAATAAGAAACAAAGTTGACATTTATGCATATGTATCGATGAAATTTCGATACTCCGAGAGAGAGAGAGAGAGAGAGAGAGAGAGAGAGAGAATGTTTTAACGTTCGATTGCGGATAAAATATCGATACACGAGTATTCATCTCTCTCTCCTTCGCTAGCGTAACGTTATTCCGCTCGCGGCGCTATCAATCGAACGTCACTGCCTCGTTGTCGACCGCTGCCGTTTACAGCGGGTCGGTCGCTCGACACTTCCGCTGACCCTTTCGGGCTCTCTCGGTCGACGTATTATACAGGAAAACGGTGTTGCTCGCGCGCTCTCTCGCCTCCCTGCGGGTCGCGCGCGTGCGCAACTCCACGGCGCGCATTCCGCCGCCGTGTAGCCAACCAACCTGATTATAAGCGACCGTACGCCGTGCCGATGTAACCCGCCACGGTACAAACGTCACGGACAGGGCCGCCGACAGTGGATCGTCGTCAGGACTGCCACTTTTTCAAGATGTCTGCTGCCCGAGAATTTTTTGACCACCCAACTGTCGCTTCTTTAATTCGACGGAGATCTTTCCGATCTTTTCATATTACAATGTAATATTTGCGAATGCAACGTGAGAACAAGTCTACATTCGATACTTCGAGGGAGAAAAAACGCGTGCGACGGGGTGTATCTCTATCGAAACAAAACTTGTGAAATTTTTTTTCTAAGAGATTCTCGTATTCTCTATCCCCGATGCAAAAATAGGGCACCCTGTGTACAGTGAATGCATAAATTCTTTAGCACGTTTGTGTCATCGGTTCGTGGAAGAAATTACTTTAATATTTATTGCTGAAGAACCACAGATTATAACGTCGCCCGAGGGCGCGCGAACCACCGAGCCCGCCCCTGCTCGCAGCGCTGCGGGGACGGGGGGAGAGATTAAGGTGCAGCGGGGGAAGGGGGACAGAGAGGTGGAAAGGGAAAAGAGAGAGAGGAGGGAAGAGAGAGGGTGAAACAGAGAGAGAGAGAGAGAGAGAGAGAGAGAGAGAGAGAGAGAGAGAGAGAGAGAGAGAGAGAGAGAGAGAGAGAGAGAGAGAGAGAGAGAGAGAGAGAGAGAGAGAGAGAGAAGTAGAATAGACACTTAATGGCGAGTATGCATATACATGTAAATCGCATGTCAACCTGGGCTATCTAATGATTCCAATATTATCCGCAGTAACCGTGGGCAATGTAAACTAGTCCCCCTCCCTTTGCCCGTCAGCTAGGCGCTGCTGTTGAAGATGCAATATTAAAGCATCTGGATTGCGGAGGAGAAACTACTCGTAAAACGGAATATCTAGTTACACCGTATATATAGGACCCTGTCCTCGAGTTATCTTCGAATTTGTTGGGAAGCATCTCCTCTCCTGTCTTCACTATCGTGGACGGGATCAACTTAACGTCCCGGAGTCGAGTCTCGGATAATTTAATCAAGATGCACTTAGAGTATCTCGATCGAGATCCGACCAAGTGACTGGCTGGGATATCTACAGATTAAGTTCGTTCGACTCGTCGGTCTCCTCCTCCTCCACTTGGACGAAGTTTTTAATGCGACGCTTGGTGGAACCGAGTATAAGAAAGTCTAAAGAGTTCTCTGCGTGCAGAGAACCGCTGAAAAATCCCGAGGTCGCTCGGCTTTCGGACGAAAACGTCGGGGAAAACGCGCGGTTTTTTTTAGCAGTCCGTGGCCGTCGGAAAATATCGATTGCGCTGATACGCGTGGTGGCGGTGGCGG